TTTATGCCATGGTCAGTTATATCAACAAATGATGAAGAAAGATTTTGACAAAAACGTCCGACCTCGGGTATTCAGAGAAGGTCACCTTGTGCTAAAAAGATCCAATCTTTCCTCACCGACCCAGGGGCAAATGGACTCCAAATTATGATGACCCCTATGTAGTTAAAAAAGCCTTCTTAGGCGGTGCCTTAATGCTTACAACTATGAATGGTGAAGAGTTCACTCATCCCGCAAATGTTGATGCAGTTAAGAAATACTTTGCCTAAAAAATTAAAAGAAAAGCTCGCTAAGTTAAAAACTTGAAAATGGCATCTTGGGCAAAAAAGTGTCTCAGTAGACTGAAAACTCGAAAAGGCGGTCCAGGCAAAAATTAGAGACATAAACAGAAAATAACTATCCCGGTAGATTGAAAACCCGAAATGGGCAATCTTGGCAGAAGTTAGGGATTTATGGCAAGTAACTGCATCCAATAAGATTGGATCATCTAAAGAAATCTCATATGTCAAAGAATACTCAATCAAGTCACCTTCAATATAGAAGCTCAAGAATACTCGAAATTCAAAGTTGTTAAAAGGATAGTGATCATTATATCTCAATGTAGCCCTTTCCCTTTAAATTACCATTTCTTAACTTTTTAATACTCCATAGAATCATACTTTTGGATGATTTCCATTATACCAAATAAACTTGAGCTTTGTGCCCATTTGTTTGCAATTCTTATTTTATTCTGCCTTGCAAAATAACATTTTTATTTATTGGTATTCATTCTTGAACAAAAAAAAGTGTATTTACTTTTGCTTTCAAAGTAAAGACGTCAACTTCCTTTAATTTACAAACATAAGAGGGAATATTAACAACTGCTCTAAGAACGACCAAACCTCGAAATACAAAATCAAGATAAGATTTGGTCCCTTTCCCTAGTAGAGTACTGCCTTCAAAATCTCTAGTATGCAAGATTGGCCGAGTATACGGTTTTGTTTTATTTTTACCACCAGTTCTTGTTTCGTGACTGTTTTGTCAGCATAAACATAACATTCATTCATACATAACACGTAGTTGAAATCATGGTTCATATTCATATACATCTCTTGACATGGTTCACTCGCTTTGTCATATTTTTTTCCAAGTAATAAATTCTCTCTCTCCAATAAAGTTGTCAACTTTAAAGCATAAAGTGTATATCCTTTCCAATTTCCCACTGAGTTTGATCCTCGTGGAATTTTTTGCTTCAGTCCTCCTCTCCACACTTGGATAGGATAAATTTCTAGTTTGAGTTCATTCCTCATAGGGAAATATTTTGTTTAAAAGAGTCTCTCTCCAGTTTATTCCTGAATTGAATTCGGTCCTTGACCATTTTGATAAATTGAACCTCTAAAGAATGAGAAGTGATTTATCTTTGCACCTATTGAACCCCACTCTTCTCAACGGAGGCGCGCTTTGCTTTCCAGGATTAAAGAAAATCCCCCGGTGGGAGCCTCTCAGCAAAACCTCTTGAAAGAAAATAAGGGAGATATCACATCCCCAAGAAATCTCTATTAATCAACAAACAGCTGGATAAATCTGTTCCATTGATCGGTGGTTTTTATGCTTTCTTTTACCATTAATTTTAGTTAATCTTATTATATGTTTAGTTGTTTATTTCTCTTTTTCCACATTTTATGCTTTGGTTGTGTCTCTTTAATGTTTTTAGGTTCAGATAAGCATTCAGAAAGAACTCGGTGCGAGAAAGAGGAAAATATGAAGTTTCAGTGGAATTTTGCCCATCCTACAGGGAGCCAACACTGGCACCTATGTCACTTGACACGGGTCGTGTCAGCATACAAGGAGACAATGGGAATTGAAGAAAACAGTGGGCTGACACGGACACCTGTGTCAGTTGATACGGGCCGTGTCAGCAGGCCTGGAGCTTCAAAACACAAAAATTTGAAAATAGAAGGCTGAAACGGCACCCGTGTCACCCATCACAGGCCGTGTCAGCCCAATGTGTAGATTTTCATATTTTCTTGTTTTTGGACCTAGTGTTAAGTGTGAGGTATTTTGAGCATTTCCAATGAAGGTAATTTGATTTCTTCACTATTTAGAAGAGTTTTGACGAAGAAAGGGGGGACTTTTGGATGGGAGAATAATTATACGATCAAAGATTGGAGAGCAGAAGGTTTTCGGAGAGCGAAATATTTTCATGAGCGGAAGCAATTGACGATCTAAGTTCATTCCAATCCTTGTAATGTCTAATTTTTATATTGTATTACCTTTGAACACTATGAGTAGATAAACCCCCCAATATTAAGGGGTGTCCCTGATTTGAATATGTAATGACTCTGATATTAGTATTGCAATAACGATCTCTTTGTTTTTCATAATTGATTTGATCTCTAGCTATTCTTAATGCTTGCCCTGTCGGACAAACATGGTTTGATTTTTGATTAACATTAGGTTGGACCGCCGTTGTTAATATTTTTCTTCAAATTATTCTATAGTAGATATCACCTAGGACTAGGGATACCCTATAGAAACCGAAATATTTTTTTATAATAGATTGCTTAATTTCATATGTAATTCTCTATGGACATAGAAATTAAGATGGATGATTAAAAGTTTTCTCACTAAGGACTAAGGAGTAAACATTCTAAAGAACCGGTAATTAATTAGTTAAAACAAATTGTTGCAGTATTAATTCAGAGTTGTTACTGAGTTGAATTACACATCATCTCTAGCATAGCTTACTGTCATACCCTAAATTTGTCCTAATCACTCATCCTCCTGTACCAAGTATTCGTGTCGCTTCATGGTGTTTCAAAGGGATCATCTGTGTGACCATTGTGGTCATAGTCTTTACTAAGTTTGTTGAATTCCTTTGGAAGGTGTGTGTTTTCATTCTTACTCTTATGATCAATTAGCCAAGATATGGTGAATTAGTCATGCTTCAAATTGATGCCCAGGTCATGCTTAATTTGTTATGTAACGAACATATATTTACAAGCTGTGAATGATACCCTTTTCAAATTATGCTTCAAGTGGCAAATTATGATTAAAGTAGTAAGGCTTTAGTTCAGGTTGTCACAAGAGTTTTCAAGCCATAAGTGAGCCAAATCAATGAAACTATTTCACAAACAAAGACATGAAAGGTTATTGTCAAGAATAATGCTTGGGTGGTGTTACTACTTAACATAAGGATGGACCGTGTGATTGAATTATGGATATACTTTGTTAGCAATTGCAATTACACTCTCCTAAATCATGGTTCACACCTAATATGCATTTTATCTCGAAAGGGGCTTATTCTAAACCAATGCAAACAGTTTCAAAGGTGGCTTTATACGTCAAATCGGCATGTAATTGGTGACCGTGAAATTTGAAGTTCATGAAAAGGCAAGCAAACTTTTAGTTATTATTTGAAGATGAAGTTACAAAAATAAACAATGCTAGAGTTTATTTGGTTTAAAATTAATGTCAAAGAAAACATCACACAATTTGGGATTCAAAGGTACAACTGGATTGAATTAAAATACATGACAGGGTGAAAATACAAAGGCTAGAATATGTGTTACAAGATTTGGAGGTGAAGATCCCACAAGTCATTCCATTTTCGAATACAATTTGGGAGAAAGAAATAAAAAGGACAAACTATTAAGAGGATACACTCACTTCTCACTTCATCGAGTGAGTGTTGTTGCAACCAATCCTTGAGCGTGCTCTTGTTCAAAAAAATTTCTCAAATCTTGCAGCTTATCTGTGACAGAGCGACATGCAAACTTTAATGGTTGTATAACGACAACTTTAATCTCCATCGGTAGACAATTTGTCCATATTTCATCTACCAAATTTTTTGTTGTTTGGACCAGCTTTAGGTGTTTTTTTTTATTGCAAAAGTGCCTTTGAGCAGTATCAATTGAAATGCACCAAGGGTTAATTCTACAACTGCAACAAGTTCTGCTGCTGATGTCGTTTTCGCATCCAAGACATAGGTAAATATATTCAAGAACCAAACTAATCTAAAACAATAAAATAAACATAAATCATACCTCTTCAATACTATGACCTCTTCTTCCTTGTGCTTTTAAATTGGTGTATTTTCTTCTTAATGAAAAACAAATGGACATAGCAAGCTTAAAAAAAAGTTTCTTAACTTAGAAGTTAAAGCTATGGCAAAAGAAATGAACATGAACATTGAACAAATATTTCAGTGGATGTGAGTAGATGATAATACCTCATATGAAAAGGGAAGAAATTGGATCTGGAGAAAGGAAATGAACATGAACATGAACATCTTCACACCATTTTCACACTAAAAAACTGTATCTGAAAAAATACAACCTAGTAAGTAACATCTTCACACCAAAAAGGTGAAGAAAACTAAAAAAAGAACATAAATGAAGCATTCAGTCAGAGAAAACTTCTCAATACAAAAGAATCTGTATCATATAAAAACGAAAAAAAATTACAAAGTAATGAAGTTATATTTGAGGAAACGACAATGTCTCGGAACTAAATGAAGCAGAGGGCGGAAACAATGATAGATCGGAGGTTTGAGAAACTAAGGAGAGAGAATGGGTGACATTGATCTAAATAATGAGATAGAGGGAATAGAAGAAAAAAAAAATGATTTAAAATGAAAAGAGGGAAGGTACCTGGATAAAAACATTGTGTTTTAGATTAGTTGAATTGAATTCCACCACCTAGCTAAAGCAGACGTTTTGATTGGTCAAAGAAGATGTATTTAGTAATTATTAAGGAAAATTGTTAGTACATTTTAAAATTGAGTTGAAAGATAAATTAGAAAAATATTAAGCATCTTCTAATCTTAAGTAGATAGTTGACCGGTTATCATATTGCTAATAGGCTAATGTTGAAACTTAGTTGGTTTTAAAGTTTGCCACGTGTTTAATTTATTATGTTGATAGGCAAAATTATTGATTCATTCGGTGATAACTAAACAACAAACGAAAATACAGTTGAATTTGATTTGAATTGTGGTCGAATGAATAAGTGAGTAGTAGAAAATGTGGAGTCTCAAGAAGCGTGACAACTTATGGATCCTGACTCTCACCGGCGACGACCAAAACCGCCTCAATCCAACCCTAATCGATTCCCTTCTCTCAACCCTAACAAATCTCGCTTCTCAATCCACTCCCGGCTCCGTCCTCATCACCACCGCTACAGGCAAATTCTTCTCCAACGGCTTCGACTTACCATGGGCTCGTGCCGCCGGCTCCGAATCCGCCGCAATGGATCGCCTTCGTTCCATGGTCGAATCCTTTAAACCCGTCGCGGCGGCGCTGATTTCTCTTCCTATGCCAACCATCGCTGCCATCAACGGCCACGCCTCTGCCGCGGGGCTCTTTCTCGCGATGTGTCACGACTATGTCATGATGAGAAGTGACCGAGGTGTCTTGTACATGCCGGAGGTGAATCTCGCGCTGACGATACCAGATTACTTTGCCGTCGTCATGAGAGAGAAGATCAAGTCGTCGGCAGTGCTGCGTGATGTGTTGTTGGCCGGTGTTAAGATCAAGGGGAAAGAGGCGGTTAAGATGGGGATTGTGGATTCGGCGCATGATAGTGCAGAGAGTACGGTAGAGGCTGCTGTGCGCCTGGGAGAAGAATTGGCACAGAAGAAATGGGTTGGTGAAGTGTATGCAGAGATTAGGAAGAGTTTGTATCCTGATTCCTGTAAGGTTTTGGGATTGGCTCCTAAATCACTCATATCTAAAATTTGAATTGAATATCAGATTTCAATTTTATGCAGTTTTATTAAGGAATTTACTTGGGTTCTTGGGTTCTTTAAAATTACGTATATTTTAATGCATGTGATGTTAGCTTGCAGATTGTGTTAATGCAATCATTGGATTCATATAAGTTTGATGAAAGTCAAAATCACTATGCCTTTGTGATTTTTGTTGAAGCTTCAAAATATAGTCTTTATCAACAATGTTACGCGGGCATCCTTGGAGGCTCATCTTAAATTTTTTGAGGTTCGGCACAGTTCAACCGTGACAAAATAAATAGATGTCTTATTTATTTAGGATTTTATGTGATTCTATTTAGTCACGGTTTAATCGTGACAAATTTTGTACCCTGTGCGTCAACTCGCATTGCACCAAGAGAGCAGAAACAAAATCAAAGATTATGTAGTTAGGCAAATTATATTATGTGCAAGTCAAAAGGTGAATCATATAAATAATTGTTCATTGAAGTTTCTCAAGATTGCATTCTTGATTTTTACTCAAACTCCATGGCCAACATGGGATGGTTTGCAAAGGATTGGCTTCTATTTTTTCTATTAATGAACATGTAAATTGAAATCAAGATAATATATATCTTTATCCATATAGTAGGGTAGCAAATTTGGGAAATAATTTCAACAATTTGAACAGATACTCACTCAACTAGGTGCCTCTCTAGAGGAAGAAGAATGCAAGAACTCGATGCAATCTGCTACAGCTTTCGCACGGTGTGAATCGGCGAGGTGATCTGATAAAGAATGAGACCTTACCAAAGTGGATGAAGGAACCTTCATAGTGGATCTCCTTCTCAAAGAAACGGTTTTTAGAGAATTTGTTACCTTTGCTCCAAGCCTTATTAGGAATCTGACAGGTAACATAACAGGGTCTCTGCTGTGAAATCTGAAACTCCAAGTTCCAATTATTCTCTTCCTGTTTCTTAATACTCTGCTGCAGCTACTATGCTTTAGAATAATGGTTGGTTTCTCATGAACACCGGGACTAAAACACACCCTTTTGCTTTTTCTGAACATTTCAGTAACAAAACAAAGCTTCCCAACTACACAAGAAGCCAATAGTTTCTGTTTTTCTATATATAGTGAGAGAGGGATAGCATAGCAGTAGGATGGGACAGTTGGAAAGGTTGGAAAATGAATATATAAGGGAATGCTAGCTAGGTAGTGAAATAGAAGAAAGGTATAGTAGGTTTAAAGGTAAATCATTAAGAGTGTGATGTTTCATGAACATTTAAGGATCTAGGTGTATGAGAAGTACAAAAGGAAGCAACTTGATCAGAGAACAAGTAAGCTTCATATATGTGGATGAGACATGCACACATGGGCTTATTGTGGAATCAAGTTTTTCCATTAATGAGGGAGAGCCCTACCATGATCAAGCTAATTTAGAGGCAAAGTATGAAGTAAGACAATTTGTGAGGGATTAAAAAGAGAGAAAAAGGGGGTTTGGTTTGGTCAAAAAGCAAAGGGGTGGATCCTAAGATCAAAGAAGGAGACAAGAGTGAAAATGTTAAGGTTAATATAAAGATGCATTAGTAATAGATAGAGAGATATTGTATACTTTTCTAATCAGCTTTTCTTTTGAGATGACAATGGAGGGCCTACACATGTTTTTTGGTTCCTATTTTACATTTGGCTCTGTTTCTGAAATCTGAAATTTGGAGATCATTGCCCCTCTATGATGAGAGTCAAGTTTTTAGAGATCTTGTATAGGCTAGTCACAATTTTATCATGACAAAACAATTATAGGTTCCATTTAATTAGGATTTAAATGTGACAAATATTTTATGAGACTATTTAACTATGATTTATCAGTGATAAGTTTTAAAGATTTGTGCTGTAGTCCGCCCTCAAAGACTGCTCAGTCTATGATGTGCATTGTTTAGAGAAAGAAAGAGAGGCGTGGAGGGAATACATTTGAATATGGAGAATAGGGTTGGCGTGAAAATTAGGGAATCACTTAATCATGTTTTTATTGTTCCTTTTATTATGTTGGAGAGAAAAATGTGCCTCCATTATGGCATCACTGCAAATTTATTTCCCAAGTCATGCCTTTTGACCTGTGTTTGATTGGGTGCACTTATTTCTTGTCAGTGTCGCATGCTTATTTTGTTGTGTTGTCTTTACAAACTTGTCTTACAAATGAAACAAAATGAATGGCGAGAAATTGTATAGAATTGTCTGATTACTAAATATTGTAATGTTGATCAGAATGTTTTATGTTATGCTGATTTGATCATTCTCCTAATCAATACTTGATCATTCTCCTAATCAATGTCTGATTACAAGCTACTTTTGCATTTTTGAATAGCTTAGGTGTTTAGAAGTAATTGAATGTATGCATTTTGTTTTTGGCTGTTGATAAAACCTTTATAATTGAACTAATTTCGAGTGTTGGATAGATTGCATTTTAGTGCAATCATCTCTATCCTTTTTATAAGTTTCTTTTGTAATTATAAATGGTTTTTCCTAAAAAAGTATATATGGCCTCTACCAATATCAAGAATTTTTTAGTTTTAGTCTTTTGTAAAAATAACTGGGTTAGTCTTTGTAAGCATATCACTTTTTTTTTTTGGTTAAATTTAATCATTTTTAAAATTTTCTTTATAATGTTAAGAACATTTGATTTTAATCCTTTAAAATAATGAGTAAATAAAGACCGGACAGAAAGAAAAAAAATTGCAAGTCATAACATAGATCATGGTGTTAAGGACAAATTTTCAACATCTATGCATGTAACTTGAAAAGATTCCATTAAAAACAAATCGAAGATTAATTTAGATGATGTTGATGAATGAGAAAAGTAAATAGCGGCATTTCTCATTGTTGCAGGGCGGGGTTGTCCAACCCGCATCTATGATCATACTTTATATATTACATGTGTGTCTAGGAGAAATCAGATTAGATCATAAAGGAGAAAATTGTTCCTCTAATATTTGAGGAAGATTTGGTTTTCCTTTCAGTTTCCCTTTAGTATCTTTTTTTGTGTCTTCTCTTCTCATCTCAAACAACTTTAAGACACTTAATAAAGAATAATGAACGTTGCATGCCACGAGCCTTAAGCATATGGGAAATGATGAGCGGGAGGTTTCTCCTCGCTTGTCTAGAGTGTTTAGTGTATGCCCCGTGGGCGATATGCGATGCATTCGCTCCTATATCATAGTCTGTAGTGAAAGGTGAACCACAAAGCAAACTAATTCACTTCACTAAAACTTACAAATAAATTTCAAACCTTTTTATCCTTCTGGATTTGTTTCAAAATCATTTTCAGAAAATAGTGCATTACTTTTTCGTTCTACCGTAAACAGGCATCGACCCTAACTGCTAGAATGAGAACTTAGCGTCACTCATAAAAAACACTTAACCGACCAGTGGTTTAGTTACCCAAACTACATTTGCTCTGATTTCTCATACCAGATGAGGATACGTAGGCACAAGACGACGATGTCTTGGCGAGCAACCTTCCCCTCATCACCCATAGTTTTTCAAACTACATTGACTCTGACTTTCCCATTGCACAAGGGAATACGTAGGCATGGGACAACAAAGTCCTATCGAGTCTCCTTTTTCTTTTCCCGTTCTCGTTCTGTTTAGCAGTAGCTTTTAGATAACTCACCCTTTGATTAGACAATAAGCATGGATCCCGTTGAATACAACAGACGTGAGGGGTGCTCATACCTTCCTCTTGCATAACCGACTCCTGAACCCAAGATTTGGTTGTGATGACCTCGTCTTCTCCTTTCCTATATGTTTTTTTCTATCGTTTTCTTTCCATTTCTTTGGGATAAATAACGTTTGCTGGCGACTCTTCTATTTGTCTCTACCGGTTATTTTTTCGCAGTTGCGACAGTTAGCGACTCTGTTGGGGACTCTGGTTCCCTATGCGAGTCAATCCTAGTGCTTGCCTGTTTTTTTGATCTATAGGTGCTTTTATTTGTGTATATGTATGTTACATTTGTTGTATATTTATCTGTTGTATTTTATTTCATTTGAATTTTACTTTTTGCACTCTATCATTGCTATCATCTGCTGTTGGGTGGGTTGTTCCATGAAAGATAAGCCTAATACCCAGGCTTGAGTATACCCCTAGGATTAGTGTGGAGAGTAGCGTGGACTTGTGTGACATTTAGTCATGCAAGAGTTCGCACGAAATTCGCGTCCAGACGAGGTTTTCTTTGGAGACATCCTATCCTGCGTATGTCTTTTCAGATTTCTTATTTCTCCTTAGATTCTGGTCCTGGTTTTCTTTGAAAACAGAAATAGAGATGAAGAAGGTCACCTTATACAAGTTTCCGTTGCTAGAGCTGGGACCTTTATTTGGTCTAATTGATATGGCAGATCCTGTAACTCTTGAGGTATTCAGAAGGGACTATGGGAGAATTTTGAGCCTTGCCCGTAAAGTCACTAGTTATGAGCAGGGAGCTATTCTCACTTTGCTACAGTTGTATGACCCTCCACTGTGCTGCTTACTTTTCTAGACTATGTGTTGGTTCCTACATTGGAGGAGTTCACTTTTATTTTGGGAGTTCCAGTCTTAGATGAAGTGTCTTTCTTTCGTTCAGAGGAGGAGCCTGATCTTGAGAAGCTTGTTGTCGCTCTTTATTTGAGCGCATCTGAGTTGGTTGACAATGTGGTTACCATAAATGGAGTCTTCGGCTTCACTTTATCTCTCTAGGTGGACAAAGCTCAGAAGTACGCCAAGGAGGGTTGTTGGGTGGTTTTTAGTGCTATTTTAGCTCTATGCATCTATGGCATTGTGTTGTTTCCCAACATACAGGACTTAGTTGACATGGACGCTTTCAATATCTTCGCCTCCAAAAATCTTGTACCTACTCTCTTAGGAGACTTATATCATTCAGTACACTATAAGAATGAAAGGAGAAGAGGAAAAATTGTTTCTTGTTGTACTCCGCTCTTCCATAGGTGGTTCATAGACCACCTTCCTCGTACCAGAGTTTTCTTTAACTTAAGGAATACGTCTTAACGGTCTCAAAGACTCATGGGTTTCACAGCCAAAGACATTGTCTGGTTTAATCGAGATCTTCTTGGCATAGAGATTGTCTTCAGTTGTGGTAACTTTTCCAATGTGCCTCTGATAGGGAAAAAAAGGGGAATCAATTATAACTCTTATCTCGCTGTAAGACAATTTGGGTATGCTTTGAGAGGACCCCCGAAAATCTCTGTACTATACTGATGTAGCTGACCCTGATGTTCTGGTTAAAATTGTTGAAGCATGGGGAAAAGTTCACAAGAAGGGGAAGATTCCTTTAAGGAAGAGTGACTATAGAGCTTATAACCCTTATTTGGATTGGATTCACAAGAGAGTTTAGAAGATATTATTTCCTTTTTCTGCTGAAGAACCTTTGTACTCTTTGATAGTTGAAGAACCTACAATAGTTGATATCCTGAAATATAATAAGCTTTGGGCAGAGAAAGAAGAGTTGTTTAAAGAAAGCGAATAACTAAGAAAGGAAATCGGCCAGTTGAAGCATGATAAGAACGAAGCTATCTACTTAGCTAAAGTGAAGACAGAAGGCTTGGTTAAAGTAGAGAACGAGCTAGCTGAATAGATCCGAGTGAGAGAACGAGTTGGTCAAGATTTAAAGAGTACTGATAGCGTCCTAAAGAACAAAAAGAAATAATTAGATAGAGAATATTTGGAAATATCTAAGTTCAATGGTCAGTGGAACGCTACGGTAACCGCCAACAAAGGTAGAGAGGATGAGCTTCACAAGCAGATTAACAAATTGAAGACATAACTCAGAACTAAAGAGATAGAGGTTTTAGTATAGCCATCTCATAGATGTACAAGTGAACTAAGGATACGAGAAACTTTGTTAGCGTTGGAAGAACTCAAGGTGAAAGCTGAATTGAAGAAATCAAAGCTTGAAGACGTCTTCGGTGAGAATGCTTGGGAGGAATATGTTCAAGGCTTGAAGGATGTCATTTGAAGAAGAGATTCCCTCATCCAGGAACTGATTTCAAGACCGGAGCATCCAGACACAAAGAAGTTGCTC